TCGATTTCGGCAAATTTAAATTGTTATTGCAAAAAATTGTTAATAAATGACTAAAGTAACTATTGGAACATAAAATATAATCTCTCTAGAGTATCCCAGAATTTTTTCAGATTTTTTAGATGAGTTTAACAAAAAAATGTTACAGGACTTAAAGGGGTCACCGTGCAAATGGCGTTAATAAAAAACATAATGCAAGCGGAGGGTTAAAAATATTTTATATTTCTACATAAATACATATATTTACATTGCCTTTAGTTTGAACGGAAAGTTTTTTTGGCTTACGCAACAAGTTGCTTCGTCGTTTAAGCCTAGTATAACTCAGAACAGAAAGATCTCGGTTAGAACAAGAAAGGAAGCATGTGTTTTCTCTTGACGTCGGGTGCTGTCAAATCGATTTTTTTTCGAATTTTCGGAGAACGGATGACGCTACGAGTCTCATACTCTAAAACTATAATTCTTAAGCCTAGCACAACTCAGAACAAAAAGATCTCGGTTGGAACAAGAAAGGAAGCATGTGTTTACTCTTGACGTCGAGTACTGTCAAATCGATTTTTTTACGAATTTTCGGAGAACGAATGATCTTATGAGTCTCATACTCTAGAACTATAATTCTTAAGCCTAGAACAACTCAGAACAAAAATATCTGGGTTGGAACAAGAAAGATAGTATAAGTTTACTTTTGGTCCGACAGACTGTTTGTCAAAAAACTTTTTTTTAATTTTTCGGGCTTATAATTAAACTTATTGATTTGTGCTTTTGGAACAATGTTTGGAACAACTAGAACAATCTATTGCGGTATCAGAATGTTCGATTTTCGAAAAGTGGGGTGCCAGCTCAAAAAATCATTTTTTTTTGTTTTATTCGAAAACCGTTTCGAATGAAGCAATATCACTTTGGAACAATGTGGTACAAAGTCAGAACAATCTGGAACAACTTTCAAAATTATAAATTCCAAAAAGTGGGGTGCCAACTTCATACACTCCGCACACACGGAGCTACTCAGTTCTGTATGCCAAACGGCCCACCTCTCTGGTTTATAAGATAGGCCCGCGAGAAATCATCCATTTTCTTCACCGGCCGCGGCGAGCCGTATGTCCCGCCTGCCGTGTCGCTGCGCTCTGTATGTTCAACTATTTCGCTCACATGTCGCTTCTTTTCCAAATATTATGTTACGAATTCCTACTTCATAGATAAAAAAATCAATACTTTTGACATATGCGTATTATGTGTATTAATTTGATTTAATTTATTTTAATAATTACAAGAAATATTAATCGATTTATCGATATGTAGCAACCTTCTTTATCATATGTGAGAATTTACATATGATATGAAATTAGTTATAAATCTCTGAAAGAAACGTCAAATGTGTGCTTATTGATTCCCATAAATGTATTGCATGATATTTTATTCTTAATATTTTGACGAAATTGTTATTATTTGCGATATGTTTATTTAAATGATAGAAAAGGCAGTATTACATATATTGCTGTATGTATAGAACTTCAGTATCAATATTTTGAAAAGGAACAACATATGCATGCATCTGTACTACTGTGTGTTGTACCGTACCTGAGCGCGTGTACTTTAGCCAATATAATTGGTCAAATTTAATCGTTTATAATTTGAAAAGTATTATAGCCTCGACATTTTTGCATTAGGATTTTTTTCTTCAGATTACTTCAGAAATCCGTTCTTAAGAGATAATGCCTTAGATAGCACAGAGAATTCTAAAAGAATTCAGTCGTATGTCACCAATTCTGAGTTTATTTTTAGATACAAAAAGAATTCTTTTCACTGAACTGAAGAATTCTTTTTACATCTAAAAATGAACTCAGAATTGGTGACATACGACTGAATTCTTTTTGAATTCTTTTTGAATTCTCTATGCTATCTTGGGCGGTAATGAATGATGAGACCACCCTGTATAATATATAATATATAGTCGGTAAACGTGTATGGAATACAGTTCCACCCTTGAAAGCTGCGCAACGACACATATCGATCCGATAGTTGTTGGTAAGAGTTTATCTAGAAGCCATTATCTTCTTTTAATATTTTTGAAGAAAATCTTAATGTATAGCAAATTTGTCAAGCCATGCTAATTCCCTAATTAATTAAGACTAATTAAGGCTGGATATCTTTAATAGTACTTCGTTAATACTAATGTATGCGATTCGTATTCGAATCTTTTCGATTCGAAATTTTCGAATTATTATAATCAAATTTCACTTGATTTGAATTTGAATAGTTCGTACATCTCTACATGATAATAACATTGCCATAGACTTGATATGATTATAATATTGATTATATAAATAAATATTTATTTATATATAAACAAATTTTCTTTTTTTGTTTTTGTTCAAAATATTATATAAAATTAAAAAATTATATTATATTGTATTGTTATAAAATTATAGTATATTATAGTTTCTTTTAATTTTTATTAGAAGTATTCGATATTTATTCGATATATATATAATATCTAATTCAATATGAATACTTTCAAGAATATCAAAGAATATTAAAAAATATAAAAAATATTTATATTCGATATTTTCGCACAATATCGACATGTCTAGAATTGCGTTCCGAAATTCACTGCCAGTACTGAAATTCTATAATATACGTAACATAAACTATAGATTTTCAGTACTGATAGTGCATTTCGGAACGCAGCCTATATACAATTACCTTATCTTAATTACATTTCAGACAGCACGAATTCTAAAAATGACCCATAAGATGACTTTAAGATGTCTTTTAGTTATGTTTATTATACCTCTAAAAGATGTATCATAAAGATGACTAAAAGGCATCTTAAAGTCATCTTATGCATCGCTTTTAGAGCTTATACTGTCTGGGATAGTTTAAAGTACACAATTTGCAATGCTTGCCATACACACAATATTTTTTGCATAGAAATTATATCAATTTAAATAATAGTAAAAAAATACGATAACAATTACAGCAACAATAATAGCAACAACAAAAACAATAAAATGCCAAACAATAGAATAGAATATATAATATTATTTTCTTGCAAATTTTCTAGTATTTTATCATCACGTTTGTATTTGTATATGTATTTTTAAAGCTGAATTTAACAATATGTAATACTTAATAATCAATAATTTTTTATTCAGCTTCGCTCGCTGGTTTTCAATTTTGCACAAAAAGAACTGGCCTCTAAAGCTGCTGAAATCGATAAGAAAAATAATTTCGACGAGTTAAAAGTGAGTATCCTTTCATGAAAAATAAGCTTGCACTACAAGAAACAATCTTAATATCAAGATTATTTAAAAAATTTTGCAAATTTTCAAAATTTTTTGTTTCGTCAGGAATCAGATGTTATATAGAGAAAAAGCATCATTCATAGTTGATTATTCTATACAAAATATTTAACGATTATACACAAAACGTGTAGATTAAGTCAAACTGAACAAAAAGTTTCTCTACAATTTTGCAAATAACCATGTAAAATTTTGCATTGTTAATTAAAGGAGATAGTTCACACAACACAAAATCAACGTCTAAAATCGGGACATAAACGTTTTAGAGACGTTTTATATTTTGACATCTGAGAAATGTTTTTAAGACGTGTTTTAGATGTCTTATGTCTTGATTTTAGACATTGTATTGTATGGAAAGAAAATAATATCTTGTAATACGATAAGAGGAATATAATAGAGGCTATGTCTTGATCGCCGCTTGTCACCATCGCTTTCCTCCAGCTGCTCATTGCACGCCGCTCGACGCTCGCATAGCTATAAGCGATTCGGTAAAAGCGATGAGCGATTCTCAAGGTGGCAATTCTCAACATCAATGAGATGCGAATGAGATACGTATACGAAAATTCTATAGTTCACGTTACGTATACTATAAATTTTCGCATGCGCATCTCATTCGCACACCGTCAGGAATCAGGCTCTAGATCGCCTTCATCGCATTCCTCTCATCACGTATCACATGCGGTATTACCCATACAGCACCAAATGTCTGAAATACATCCCAGAGACGTTCCAGAGACAATGTGATATCTCTGGGATGTTTCTGGAATGTATTTCGGACATTTGTGCTGTATGGGTATTTTTCTATATCTTCTTTAATTAACAACTCAAAATTTTCTATAATTCACAAAATAGTAGAGGGATTTTCTTTTTAGTTTAATCTATATGCATATGAAAATTTATATACTATCCTCAAACACTCTTTATAAATATCCTGTAGGCTTTTTGGCGTCAATTAGGCAAATTAGGCTTGTTGGGCGTTACGGTGAAGACTGAATACGGTGGCACAGGTGGCTCATATCTTGATCATGTACTTATCGTGGAAGAACTGTCTAGAGCATCGGCTGCTATTGGACTAAGTTACGGCGCACATTCAAATTTGTGTATGAACCAGATCCATAGAAATGGCACGGAAGAACAGAAGCACAAATACTTGCCAAAGCTATGTAGTGGCGAACACTTCGGCGCTTTGGCGATGTCGGAATCAGAATCTGGCTCTGACGTTGTCTCTATGAAGCTAAAAGCTGAGAAAAAGGGCGATTATTACATATTGAATGGAAACAAGTTCTGGATTACCAATGGCCCAGACGCGGACACATTAGTTGTCTACGCGAAAACAAACCCAAACACGGATAAACCGCAGCATGGTATCACTACTTTTATCGTGGAACGTGGTATGGAGGGCTTTAGCACAGGGCAGAAACTAGACAAAATGGGAATGCGAGGCAGCAACACGTCGGAATTGATCTTTGAAAACTGTAAAATTCCAGGTAAGAAAACGTTCTGACGAAAAATCTCTGTATAAAAGTAGAGATTTTTATTTATAAAATATATTGGTACAGTTTGATCGTTTAAATTGGAAAATTATGCCTCTTGTACATATAATAAGATAAGATTTAGTGCTGTGTGAATTTTGTAACGTTTCTGGTAAGATTAGAAATTTTTATTATAGTTGCGAACATTTTGGGGGAAGTTAATAAGGGCGTTTATGTGCTGTTCAGTGGATTGGATTATGAACGAATGATATTGGCCGCTGGACCGATAGGGTGAGTATTTGGAGAGGAGAAGGTTCTGATTTATATAACTAAAAAATAGGAGATTCTTTTTTAAAATTCTAGAAATTTTGTCTGAAACATTTTTGTCTGCTAAATTCAATTTTGGAGATATTCGGCTGGCCTGTTTAAAATGGCACACCTTATATATAGGGTTCTATCTCAAACTTTAAATCAAAATACAATTAGATATTCTTGTCCTCTATATAAATTTATTTCACGATTATTACACGATATTGTAATATACTGTAATGATGTTTGTTAGCTAAAAGTATCTGTAGACACTAAAAAATCTAGACGGAATTCCAATTAAAAAAAAATTTTTTTTATTTAAAACTAGTGTTGTCAGTATAATAACTCAAATATTTCTTTATCCGGGTGCCCGGGTAATATCCATATTTGCGAATACTATTCGGATACTCAGATACCTACACTCGGAATCTTTAAATTTTGTTTGACTAATCTGTTTCTTGCTTTTTAACGGAAAATTAAGAGGCATTTGAGTATTAAAAATATAATTATTAGAGATATTAAAGCTCTTCTCTCTCTCTCTCTCTCTCTCTCTCTCTCTCTCTCTCTCTCTCTCTCTTACGTCGAATAAGGCTAATTAATAAGGTTTACACGTCTGACATTATGTAACACGAAGATAAATTTCAGAATCGCACAGGCTTGTTGTGACGTCGCTTTCGAATACGCTCATACGAGGAAGCAATTTAATCAACAACTTGCACAATTTCAAATGATACAAGTGAGATAGTTAGAATGTTTTATAATTCACAAATGTCTGTAACACCGATCTATCTCATTAATTGAAATGTTGTATGTGTTTTAGTCGAAGTTAGCTGATATGTACATGAGATTATGTGCGGGCAAAAGTTACCTTTACGCCATCGCGAAATCCTGCGACGCCGGTCAGAGAAGTCGCAAAGATTGCGCTTCAGTGCTTCTTCACAACAGTGAGAATGCTGTAAAAACGGCATTGGACGCCATACAAATACTTGGTAATTTGTTCACGAAGCGAAATGATAGAATGTTTTATACATTTATCATATTATTTGACTTGAGACTGTTGTCGGTATATTCTTCAGTAGATTTTAAGTTACACTATCTGTTCTTTGAATCGCAATAGGTGGAAATGGTTATACCAACGATTTTCCGGTGGAACGATTCCTGCGAGATGCGAAACTTTACGAAATTGGCGCGGGAACCAATGAAATACGACGTTTGGTCATCGCCCGTGCAATCAGCGAGGAATATGTCTAATAATGTGCTTCCATCAATTTGTATCTCATAATTGCTCAGATGATATATCTACGTGATCTACCAGTGTATTATAATGTATCATAATGTGAATATTTTTAAAATTTTGTTATATGCTTATTAATCGCTTTGTTCATAAAACAAAGCTTATAAGCTTTTATTACGAAACTCATCTTTTATATATTTTTCTACGATCCTTTATTCGCATAATGATTGAGTACGTTTTTAAATATTTTTATATGTGTTATACAAAAGCAAATAAACGTGATACGTTTGATAAAAAAATCAGTCAATATAAATGTGTTTTCGTTAATTTTAATAAATTTTTTGGTTTGTAATTTTACAAAATATATGCAAAGATTACGCCATGCTTCTTGAAGTGATCTTCTTCGAGGATTATCAATAGTGAACTCGTAATTAGCCAATGATTAATCGTCATTGCTAATATACTACTAGGGCCCAATTCTCGACAGTATCGAGTGAGATGTGTATACGAAAATCTTACAGTTCACGCTACGTATGCTATAGATTACGTATACGCATCTCATTCGCACATTGTCAAGATTGGATCCTAGGCTCCTGATCTTTCATATCGCGTTCAGTGATATGCGTGGACGATCATATAAATCAAGATAATTGAGTCACTAGAGCGGCTAGAGCGGAGATTGCAATTGACTAACCTTTCGCGCTATAGGTTGCTAATTTAAGTCGTAACACATACACGCGCGTTTTCTTATCTTCTCTTTCTTACTTCCTCTCTCTCTCTGTCTTTCTTTCTTCCCTTTGCCCCTCTCTCTCTCTGAAGTTCGGATCTAGTCTCTGTCAATGACAGTACAGCCAAACTAATTGCATCAAACCAGTTCGTATAGAGGAGAAGTTCCTCATCGTCCGTGAACGACAGCAGAGCGATCCTCACCAGGAAGAAGCCTGCCTAAAAGAAGCTGAGCGAACGGGTTTTTACAGACTGAGAATGGCTCTTAAGTTCTCCATAAACAATTTTTATGAGAGCTATGTGAGTATTCAACTAGGAAGTTACCCTTTAATCTCATTCCCTTATGTGACTTACAGCCTGATCATATGTTGACTTGATCTTCCACTTTTGTCGATTACTAATGATAGATTTTTTGATAGATTCAACGGTCATTTTTTTCACTTATGAGAAATCCGAAGGTTGAACATCAATCAAGTCTATATTTGGTTAAACAATTTATGCAAGTACAATTAATTGGACAACTTAACATTTCAAAACTGCAGTAGTATTGAACATTAGAAATAAAATCGTTATTCCGAATTGAACTTTAAGTCAATATGTAACCAGGAAATTATGTCATGGACTTGATGTGATAAAATCTTGTGTTCTCTTTCGTAGATGGTATGCCGTGGATATATATCTGCCTCATTTATAAAGGAGTTTTAACAGCATAAATGCCCAAAAAATATACCAGAGACATCTAAAAGATATCCTACTTGCTTTTTGAAGTCTTTAAGATGTATCCAAAACATTTGTGTTAAACATTTGTGCTGTTTAAGTAAAAAAAATTAATGTTCTAAAAAACGTATTCCGGATTGTTATAGTTATAAATAAAGTCATGTTAATTTGCAGTTATAGAAATTGATTTTTTCACTTTGATTCTTCCTAACATATTTCTATTATTATGTATTATATTATTTCATACATTTGAATGCTATTCTATTAAGTTATATTGCGTCGATTATTATATCGTATTACATTCTAATAGATTACTGTTGCGTAATTATAAGAGATAGGAAGAAACGAAAGAGAAAGAGCCCAATATTTTTTCAGTGTGTATTCTATGACTATTTCCATCTATGATATTCTATAGCTATCTATAATCTTTTAGAGTTTCAAGAAGGAAAGAAAGGGGAGAACTGTGGTCTGTTTCATAATCGTAGTGATATTTTGTAATTTGTCTCTTCCAGGTTGAATCGATCTAAATTGGCAGAGATGCTGAATATAGCATGCAAATGTTTAATGTATGCTATTGTAAATAGCACAATATATTTAAAAGATGTTTGTTTTAAGAAATACCCACTTATTACTGCATAATTTTAATTAAAACACTTTTTTTATTAGTACAGAAGGTAGTTATTAGTTCAGGTTAAGTTTCCTAGCTCCTCACCATGGCTATCTCGATAACGTTAAAAACGAGAAAATGCATGTCAAAAATTCCTGTAAAGTACTTCGAAATAAAAAGATATATTTAAAAAAATTATGCTTGCAATTGATTAAGCATAGTTCTAAAATATTCCGAACATCTTCCTTTTGTTCTATCAATCAAAAACCATAAAATTTACCGTAAAATTTAATTTAAAACTATGCTAAAATAATAAAGAAATATAGATAAAAAAGGAAGTTATATGTCACATACATATGTTAATTTTAGGATTTATTAATTGTTTATTAATTGTTAGAGCAAAAGGAAAGTATTCGCAGTATTTTAGGGATATGTTTAATCGACTGTGTAATCTTTTAAATGTTTTTTTATTTCGAAATGCAAGAATTTTAAGCATGCACTTCCTAGCTTCTGATATCATCAATCCATAGCGAGGAACCAGGAACTTTAATCGCGTTCTCTTTTTAGCAATATAAACAGCAATTTCCATAGCATCAGATGACCTCTTTTATATATTGAACAAATTCTTGTTGTATGAAGACGCATCTTTACGTATTTGTGCTAATCGCTAAACAGATAATATACCGAAATATATCTATCTGGGAAGTGCTTTATAAAAATACATCTATGTACATGTCTATCTACTTATATATATTCAAAACAAAATTAATAAATTTACACGTTTTCTGTACATATGCAACGCTTATAGATGCTTTTAGTAATCATTTTACAAGCTCAATCAACTCGGTTAAGCTCCGTCGTTGACGATACACCCGCATCTTCAAGGATACCTTCCGCGGGGTGTCCTTCGCGGGCTGACGACGCTGCGTCGCATCTCTGCGAAGCTCTCTGTTGCGCATTTTGCACGTACGCCCGCGACAAATACCAAAGAGAAATGAGTGCAGGTCGGGCCAGAACAATATGTCGACACTGTATGCCAACTCGAAATGGGGCCAGAATAGCGGGGACGACCAGCCGCCGCCGCCGCTGCCGCCGTCGCGGCGGTGCGGTCCGTTTGAGAGTTGGGCAACTCTCGCAAGCTCTGTCAAAGTCGGCATAGTCGCGAGCAAGTGCAGCTGCAGCCTACCCCTCAGTGAGCAGTGCGACCACGATCCGGGATCCGTCGCTTGCCGGCTCGCGAGCGCGCGAGATCTCTCTCTCTCTCTATCCGCGCGAGTCGACTTCGAGATCTCGGACGATTAAAATCCATCTTGCTTTCATTCATTCTTGCTTTCTTCCTCCGTTTGATCTCGTAGTGCGTCAGTGTTGTTGTCAGTGGTGGTGGTGGTGCTGGCCGGAGCCACGTCTAGTCTAGAGCATGACGAGGAAGCACACGGTGGTCGTGAAGCTCAGGAGATCCAGCACCGGCAGGCCTTGGGGCATACGAATCGCCGGGGGTGCTGATCTAGGCACACCGATCGTCGTCACCCGCGTGAGTCGCCATCCTCTTTCGCTTTTAACACGTTGACTGCCAACGGGGATCACCGGTAAACGACATTATGATTTCATTTATTTGTACGCGCGCAAAGCGTGACTAAACGTGCACCTGACGAATTAGATCAATATACAGGATGTTTCAGTAAAAGTGGATAATTTCTTTAAGGATGTATAAAAGGATTGTTAGTGAAAATTAGTTCAATTTTGTTTCACGTAAAATCATTATCTTGTTGTTTTACCTAATAAAGTTTTACTTTTCACCAAATACGTTTTTCTCGAAAACCATTCGCTTTTTCCAAATTAAACAAGAATATCTTTTTTTCAGAAAAAGATTTTGATAAGTTTAAGAAAAAAAGTCTAAAAAAAAAGTTTAAAAATTTTAAAATCCTGCTCACTCTCTCTTTTCAAGGTTGGGGATTAAGAAATTTAGGAATGATTTGCGCTTTGGCTCTCTGATATAATCGTATCAAATCATTATAACGATCTTTATTTAGTATAAAAATAATTCAAAGATTAGCAAAATCTAGTAAGTAGTATAAAAGCTATTTTTAGAAAATACTTTTCAGATCCCATCTTCGGGGATAAATATCTCAGCAAGAGTACACTGCTAACAGGAAAACAATTAATATGAACTTATGGAGTTATTTTCATCTAATTTATACGCCGCTAAGAGATTTCGCATGTATATTGAAATATCCCGCATAAATCAGGAAATATGTGTAAATCTACTGTAATTTCAGTTATTTCTTCTAGTAAGCTTCGATTCATCTTTAGATTTTTCTCGAAGTAATTTTGAATTAAGCTTTGGAATAATCTGTGGAAATCGCCGTGACAATCAACGTGTTAACATTCGATTTCAGTGTTCAATTGATCGTCGAATTAAATTGGCGGGTTAACTAAAATTTCCTTCAGGCCCGGAAGAGGCCCATTCCGTAGTGACTTCGTGTGTCAGATTGAAATTGGTCAGGCATTGTTTTAAATCGCTCAGTTGTATGAGAAAATTCGCTAATTCGATTCGAGTGTTATCTTCTCGTAATAATGATTTTTACCCGGCAGATCAAATCATCTTGAATTAGCGAGACGAGCGGTTCCTTCGGCGTCTACTTACTTGGCTTCGATACGATTTCGTTCTGGCATTTGCGAACCCGTCGACAAACAATGAGTAGAAGGCGTAACACAATCCGGTGAACATTTAAAATAGGGGGAGAGGGGGGTGGAGAAAGAAAGAAAGAGAGAAACCGTCGAGAGAGCTGCCAAGGAATTCTCAAATCAACGATTTGATCTAATGCGACATTGATACACGATACGGCGCATCGCGGTTACGTGAGAAACGCGGTTCGACGATAACGAGAGTTCGACACAGAAAAATACACATTACATTGTAGTAAATGTTACTTACATTACATTGAGTAAATGTTACTTGTTTCAAGTATTTCATAAGTTCATATAAACCGGTTCTAAATATGACTTATAAACCTTCTTGATTCATAAGCATATTTGGAGACACTTTCATCGATAGAAGAGAGTTCAGAATATAGGACTTTGTCTCTGTTCGATTTTGATTTTCATTCTTCGAGACATCGACTGATTTATAACGAAAGATATATATATATATATATATATATATATATATATATATATATATATATATATATATATATACCCTAATAATGATTATCTTTTAAAATCGATGATAATCATTATAATAGCGTAAGTTATTGAAACTCATATTCCCTAAGTTTCTTTTACCTTTACATTTCACTCACGTATAGTTAACCGTTCATCTGACTTCTTTACTTTTATTTCTGCTTGATTTTGATTCTTCAAAGGACCGTCTGATTTATAACAATCTCTCGACAATAGTGATCTCTTAAAGTTGATATGTTGATAATAATAGCCGCGCGCATTCTCTCGTTGCTAATGGCACTGGACCGATATTCTGCTTGCAGTCGGAGAACGAGGCGCTCCAGAAGGGTGACGTGATCAAGAAGATCGACGAGTACGACGCACGCGACGTGAGGCATGTAGACGCACAGAATCTCCTACAAAACTCCGAAACCATAAAGCTAGTGGTCGAAAGGTCTGAGCCGTCGAGCGCAACAACATCACGCATCACCGACACTACTACCACGTCACCCACGATTTTCGGGTCGATCATTGGCGACGGGGCTGCGGTCACTAGTCTGTCAGAATGCAATACTGTCTCTATTACTGCGTATTTCTGATATCGCCGCAAAAACTATCGCCAACTGCCGCTGCGTAACGTTGCATTAACACGCCTCCTTCGATTAATCAGCTACCCCTCTTTCTCTCTTCTGATCTATTTTTTCTTTCTTAAAAAGAAAACATAATAGACACCTCGCCATTGCGTCAGAATTTATCATCGTTCTCATCTCGACGACCGCCTTTAATTATAACTTCTTCTGGACGGATTTTTTTGAAATAATGTAAACGTCGAGAAGCTTTCTTTAATGGGAACGAAACTAGAAGTTGATCTTCGTATGTTAAATTTTAATTATCACACTCTCTAAAGTACAGTCAGTTGTATTCTTCATTGAAATGTTACACTTATAACTAGTGATTCTTATTGAAGTGTTACACTTATAACTAGTTAAGAATATAACAACCAATAAAATCTCGCTGAAAGGACCAGTAATAATAGCTTATAGTAGTTAATAGTAGCTATCATTATTATTGTTGCAATTTGCAAATATCAGTGTTATCACACTCAAAGTGGATGAAAGCCGTGAATTCCATTACTACAAACACAAAAAGTTGGATTTGGTATAGCGTGTAACGAATTTATATACTGCATATTTTGCAGTGAAATATTGTTTCCACTCAAAATTAATGAGATATAAGGCTGAGCAGTAGAGTGAAAGTGTTTTCACTGAAAATTAGTGAATATTTACTGATTCAATTCAAAACATCTTTACTGATTCACTTTAAGAGAGTGAAGTATTATTTTTTTCGTTTAGATTATTGTTTGCCACCTGTCTTCAACAATTTTCGTGGTACTGTGAGCGTAGAGTTATTCGTT